TTAGCAGTGACAGTTTTGGTTGAGTCTGGCTTCTCCGTTTCCTTGATGTTGGTGTGAGTACTCGATCATAATAAAGGTAAATCACCTAATTAATCATGTAGTGAGTGAGTAGTTCCATTATGTTTTATATGATCTCATATAGTTCATCATTGCATAACTTTAGATTTCTGGTTTTCTCAATAGGGTGTAGAACCAACAAAACCTAGTTGAACCATGTCCAGAATACCCAACGGAGTATTTACCTTTCTGAAGCTGCTCTAGAAATTTGAGCTTGGTACCATATGTCCAGGTGGCTGCACTGAGTTACAGTTGGAACTGACAAAAATATTTTCTTGTGATTTTGCTGTTCAAGTTACCTGCACTTAACCTTAGTATATCCTTATTATATTTATATGGAATTATACATTATTAATGCAGTGGAACTTAGGTAAATTGTCAATGGACACTGTTTAGAAAGATTTTTAAGTAAACTCTCCAATGCATCTCTTTCAACTTTTTAAATACTATTTATTCATTATCCTTTCCATTTTTGATTCTTTTCTTTAGCTTCAAAGTCAGCGTGCTTAAACAACTTGACTTTCATGTATCACGTGACTTGGTGCCAGAAGTGTATTTTCTCTGCTGCCCCTGCCTCTGGGCACCATGCTTCCTCTGGCCCACTCAGTGTCATGTGCATTGCTTCCTCCCCCTACCCTTGTCAGCTCCATCTTTTCTTTCCTTCTCTTCCTCTGCCTCTCCCTTCCAAGCTGTCAAGAAAAAGAAGTAGCTGATAAAGGCAATGGTCTTCCAAAGCCTCGTCTCACAGCTATCAATAAAGGTCTTTCAGAGAAGATACAAACCTTCACTTCCTGGAGAGAATCACCACCTTTTGGGGCCAAGAGGATTTTTCAATTTAAGTGTACCTGCAACGGCAGCTCCGGTTGCTTGCCTAAGTTTTCAGAAAGTTGGTTTTCACAGAATTCGATACTATTTCAACTAGCAAGTTTGAAATAACCTTGTTCAAACAACAGTGGAGATCTTTTAAACAAGAAACGAGATAGAAGTAAACTATTTAATCAGAGACATGTGTTTCTGTCTTCAAATATATTTCACCTTCAAAAGAAGATTATGCTTATATGTTAAATATAATCAATTAGGAAAGATTTCACTTCAGAAAATAAATAGCCGATAAAAGGATATTGGGCAGATTTCATCTTGTTTGCCATCTATTCTTCTTTCTTTTGTTAATTCTAATCCTCCTTTTTAGACATCCCCATTTCCTGCAGTCAGGTATGAGGGTACTTCAAAATATGAATCTTTCTGTGATCTTTTCTGTGATCCCTTGTTATGACAATTACAGTACAAGAGCTTGGGAGTAGGCATGGAGGTTAACTGTTTAAGGAATGCCCAACAATAGTTGTTAATTTAGGAAGAAAATATATTTATGTAAATTAACAGGAATTGGAGAAAGAAAGAACTCGTCTTATGGAAGACGTAACTGCAAACAAAAGAAGGATGAAGGAACTGGAGGATAATTTGCTTTACCGCCTGACGAGTACTCAGGGGTCCCTGGTGGAAGATGAGAGTCTCATTGTTGTGCTGAGTAACACAAAAAAGACAGCTGAGGAGGTGACACAGAAGCTGGAAATTTCTGCTGAGACAGAAATTCAAATTAACTCAGCCCGGGAGGAGTACAGACCTGGTGAGTATGGTAATGAAAGACAAATGTCCCAGGAAAATGAAGCGGGAAAGGAAGGAAAATTACAGAAATGGGGTGAAATGAGGAAGTTGTACAAATGGCTATGCAAAGTGGAGCAGCCATATATGTTTTGTGGCACTTTTTGTTGGAACTGTTAAGTAGGATGGAGATGAAAAAATTTTAGAATGGTATAAATTTGATAGATGCTTGCAATTCATATTAGTTGGCACATCCTTTAAGGTTCTCGTGAACTTGTTAAGTTAGAAAGTAAAGAGAGAGTTTTGTTTTTTTAAACATCTGACTACAAATTAGTGAAATCTGAGGAATCAGTGTAATGTTGTGGACTGTTCACTAGTTGTTTATTATTTGGTAACAATATGCCAGTATTTTGTTTATAGTCTTTGTAGGAAGGTAGTTCTCTGGTCTCATGGGAGATCTTCAGCCTTATCCGCCAATTTGCAAATTGGTGTCGTTTGTCATCTAAGAGGAAACTGCTGTTGAATTCAATTGGCTGTCCTTTAGTAATTTCTCATCCTTCCTGAAAAAAGAATGGAAACAATGTCATCTGCTGGTGGAGAGGCAGGAGCATCATCTTTGCAATGGCTTGATTTGTAAACTTGAGGCCAAGTTTAGGCACGGCTTCTTCCTGAACTTAAGAATGAGGTCCTAAATAACTACATCACTTGCTGGCTGTTACACAGATAAGCTTTGAAATTCCTTTGGTGGTCTTTTCTACCTATGGTAAAATAAGTAAAATATATTTACAAAGGTTCTAGAGACTCTAAAATGAGCAGTACTGTTTGATAAACATGAATAGCGGACTACTTAAACATGAATAGCAGACTACTTACATGGAGCTTATCAATAAGAATGAAATATATTCATAAGTGAGCATCGCTGTATTTCTCATTGCTGGTAGATAGCCACTGAAAAGACACAAAAATGAAAGTTGTCATTTTCACTGAGAGTTTAGGCTGATCTGTTGGCATGTGTCATTTCTTTTCCACTCTTACAGCACAGACAACCTTGCTCTTTGTCTTTCAGTTGCTACCCGGGGCAGTATCCTTTACTTCCTCATCACCGAGATGTGCTTGGTTAATGAGATGTATCAGACTTCGCTCCGCCAGTTTCTGGGCTTGTTTGACCTTTCCTTAGCCAGGTACGTCCTCAGGAAGCCAAGCTGAATTCTGTATCTGTGGACTAGAGTGATGACACTACATTTATCACTTCCTTTTCCTTTGTTAGTAAGAGTCTTTTTTCTTTTTATTCTAAGATTAGTGTAATTAACCAATGTGTTAACAAATCATTCTGATAAGGCATTTTATGCCTGGAGAAAGCTCTACTGACTATATTCATCCATTGATGTGATGCCTTTGGTTTCCTGTGTTTCTGTTAAACCAGAAAATTCCAAAGACGTTGTTGTGAGTGATAACGCCCTGCAGGTGAATTGATTTAGACAATGCTGAGGATTCTGTTAAGTTATTTCAGGTTGAGAGAATGCTTGTTATTTTAGATTTAGGAAGCTTATTCTTGAGGTGTAAAAAGAAAAATTGGTTCTCTAAAGTTTCTTGTTTTCTATTGCAGATGTTGTTTTTGTAGACAATTGAAAAGGGCAGTGGGATATGCCTGATTTAAATGTTCTCTTCTCCAGGTCTGTCAAGAGCCCAGTTACAAGCAAGAGGATTGGTAATATTATTGAGCACATGACCTATGAGGTTTATAAGTATGCTGCCCGGGGGCTGTATGAGGAGCACAAATTCCTCTTCACCTTATTGCTTACCCTGAAGATCGACATCCAGAGGAACCGAGTCAAGCACGAAGAGTTTCTCACTCTTATTAAAGGTCAATGTAATAATAGAAAGTCTTGTACACAGGTGCAGATGTAGGAATCATTGTGAAGGCCCTTTGCAGTATTTTTTTGTTTGTTTATAAAAATTTCCTTGCATTTCATTTAAGGTTGCATTTACATACGATATTTTATCCATTTATGAATGAAAAATAAATATTTACTGAGAACCCACTGTGTACCAGGGCATAAAATAAGCATTTGGGAAGTGTCAGTGAACAAAAACCCTTGTACAGTGTGTGTGTGTGTTTTTGTTCAGTAACATATATATATATATATATATATATATTTGGGGAGGATCCAGAAAAATAAGAAAATAATAAGTCAATTATGTAGTATGTGGGAAGATAGTAAGCACTATGGGAAAACAGAGCAGGGTAAGGGGATGAAGAGTTGAGGGTATGTGGTGTGGGGAGGTTTAAAACTTTGAATGGTGTTTAATGGGATCTCTAATGAGGGAGGCCTTCCTGAGAGATTGCAGGTGAGCAAAGACTTGAAGGAACAGGGGTTCTGGCCATGGTGACATCTAGGGGAATGGTGTCGAAGGTAGAGAAAATAGCATAGAGGCCTCCAGTAGAGTGGGTCTTGTATGCTGAGATAAAGCAAAGCCATCAGGGTGGCTGGAGTGGAAGGTGAGTGACTGTACAGCTCATCCCAGGTATGGTTTATTCTGTAGCTATTGAAGTATTGCTCACAGCCAATTACCTTGGGCCACTGGAAGCATACAGCCCAGGGGGAGGCTGAGAAACATGAATTTGCAATCACATTCTTGAATGTCTGGAAAAAAATATTTAAACTAATTGTTTGTCTTAATCACTTTGTGCTGCTATAACAAATTACCATGGACTAGGTGGCTTACAAACAATCAACATTTTTCACAGTTCTAGAGGCTGGAAGTCACAGAACAGGCTGCAGCAAGGTTGGGTTCTGGTGAGGGCCCTCTTCTGGGGTGCATAATAGCTATTCTTCTCACAGCATCCTCTCATAGGAGGAGCCAAACAGAGGAAGCAAGCTCTCTTGTGACTTTTATGAGGGCACTAATCCTACCTATAAGTTCTCCACCCTCATGACCTCATCTAATCCAAATGATGTCCTAAAGGACCCCATCTCCTAATACCATCACAATTGTGGGGTGGGATTTCAACATATGAGTTTTATGGGAACACACATATTCAGTCTATATCACTATGAAAATGATGCCAGGGTCTAAACTAAAACGGTTGTATTTACTATATCTTTCTAAACAAAATCTTTAAAGATAAGACACAATTTTGTCTAGTAGGGGATTTTTATGTCTTTACTCAGAGAGTAGATTTGCGGAGGAATTTGAAGATTACCCCTATGGGGGCAGTAGGAAGGGTGATGGATACACACATGCTGTGCCTTGGGGTGGGTAGGTAGTATACGTCCACAGTCATACTTATACAAATACAAGTACAAAATGTATTTTCATATTTATGTACATCTGCATATGCACCTTATAGTAGCAAGAAACACTGTTTACATTTGAACTTAGAAATGTTTAATTTATGGACAGCATCTCTTTCTCTCTTTAATTCTTTTTTTCTAATCCTTGAACCCTTGCTCCTTGTCTACATCTGAACTTTATTTTCCAACTTTCCTAAATCAGAACACATGGCAGATGAGTATCTGGAGAGACACCATCTTAATAACATGTATATGTAGGAGTTGCCTTCTCTAATGAGCCCTTGATATGTCACTGATTTCTGGCCTCAGTGACTGGTCTCCCAGCTGCTGGAACTCTCCTAATGGACAGTTATTCCTGACATTCTCAATTCAAGCATAAAATGCATTTACTCATAGAAATAACAGTGAACATAGTGTCCAGATCTGGTAGAAATACTGTAAAGCATATCACAGTTTGGCATGATGATAACAAATGTGGGATTTAGAGTTAGGAAGATGAGAATTAAAATATTGGCTTGGTTGCTTTCTAGATGAGTGGTCTTCAGCAAATTACTTAACCTTTTCAAGCTTCAGTTTCCTCACCTATAAAACAAGGATAGTAAAATCTATGCAAAAAGACTATTGAAAATTCATGGAATTTATGTAAATTCTGGTATATAAATTATGCTCACCAAATGATAGGTGTTGTTTTATTATCTTCAGTATTTTAGTTTTGTTTAGTCTGATGCTTGCGTAGGTTGGACAGGATTTTATGGGTCCTTAGCATTCAATGGTATTTATAACAGAGTTTCAGAGGGAACTCTGGAACAATTATGTTGTAAATCTGCCCTTTAATAGTTAGTTTGGTGAGAGCTATCTGATAATGTGAACTCTCTCTGCTGCCCTTTAAAATCATTTAAGATAACTTACAACATTATTTAGACAGTGTCATGGTCTGAATGTGTCACCCCAAAGTTCATATGTTGAATTCCTAACCCCCAAGGTGATGATATCAGAAGGTGGGTCCTTTGGGAGATGATGAGGTCATGGGGGCAGAGTCCTCATCAAAGGGACTAGTTCCCTTATAAAAGAGACCCTAAAGAGAGACCCATCGCCCCTTCCACCATGTGAGATTTCAGTTGAAATATCATCTTCTATCGACCAGGAAGTGGGCTCTCAACAGACAGTGAATCTGCTGTTACCTTGATCTTGGACTTCCTGGCTTCCAGACTTTGAGAAATAAATTTCTGTGGTTTATTAGATTACCATCCAGAATATGGTATTCTATCTCAGCTGCCTGACAGCTGCTATAACAGACAGGAACAGTGTTTTGATACTGGTCTTTTCCTCATCTCTAAGATGGGAAAGTTTCAACCTAGATGACTTTCTAAGTCTGCCTTAGCTATGATACTTTCTTTTTTTTTCTTTTTTCTTTAATTTAATTTATCAATATAGAATATAATTGATTTTCATGTCCCTTTATTAATTCCTCCTTTTCCTTCCACCCTCTCCCCTCTTCCCTCTATCAATATCATATCTGTTCACATATTAACAAAATCAAGGAATTGTTGTGTCTTCTTTCCCCACCGCCCCATTCATTTGTTTATTTACTTATTATTTTTATTAGCTCCCACAAATAAGTGAGAATTTTCTTTTTTTGTGCCTGGCTTATTTTACTTAATATAATGCTTTCTAAGTCCATCCATGTTGCTGTGGATGGTAGTATTTCTTTTTCTTTTATAGCAGAGTAGTATTCCATTGTGTAGATATACCACATTTTCCTTATCAACTCATCCGATGATGGGCATTTAGGCTGGTTCCAACTCTTGGCTATTGTAAATAGAGCTGTGATAAACATGGAAATACAGGTATCCCTTCGACATGATGATTTCCGTTCCTCTGGGTATATTCCCAGCAGTGGAATAGCTGGGTCACATGGTAGATCTATCTGTAGTTGTTTGAGGAACCTCCTTACCATTTTCCATAAAGACTGCACCATTTTGCAGTCCCACCAACAGTGTAAGAGGGTTCCTTTTTCTCTGCATCCTCACTAGCATTTCTCATTCTCAGTCTTTTGGATGTTAGCCATCCTAATTGGAGTGAGATGGTATCTCAAAGTGGTTTTGATTTGCATTTCCTGAATGCTGAGTGATGTTGGGCAGTTTTTCTTGTGTCTCTTGGCCATTTGTATATCTTCCTTTGAGAAATTCCTATTGAGCTCCTTTGCCCTTTTTTAATTGGGTTACTTGGTTTTTGCTGTTAAATTGTTTGAGTTCCTTGTTTATTCTGGTTATTTGTCCTTTGTCAGATGTATATTTTGCAAATATTTCCTCGTATTCTGTTAATTGTTTATTTTGTTGTGCAGAAGCTTTTTAGTTTGATATAATCCCATTTGTTTATTTTTCCTTTGGTTGTCTGTGCTTTGGGGGTCATATTCATAAAGTCTGTACCCAAATCCTACTTCCTGGAGTGTTTCCTCTATGTTTTCTTTAAGGAGTTTTATTGTTTCAGGATGCATATTTAATTATTTAATCCATTTTGAGTTGATTTTGGTATGAGAGGTATGGGTCTAGTTTCATTCTCCTATATTTGAATGTCCAATTTTCCCAGCACCATTTACTGGAGAGGCAGTCTCTTCCCCAGTGTGTGGTCTTGGAGCCTTTGTCAAAGATCAGATGGCTGTAGGTGCATGGATTGATTTCTGGATTCTCTATTCTGTTCTGTTGGTTTGTGTGTCTGTTTTTATGCCAGTACCATGCTGTTTTGGTTACTATCACTGTGTAGTATAGTTTAAAGTCAGGTAGTGTTATGCCTCCGGCTTTATATTTTTTGCTCAGGATTGCTTTGCCTATTTGTGTTCTTTTGTTCTCCCATATGAATGTTAGGATTGTTTTTTCCAATTCTGAGAAAAATGTCATTGGAATTTTGATGGGGATTGTGTTGAATCTGTAGGTCACTTTAGGTAGTATGGACATTTTCATAATGTTAATTCACCAATCGAAGAGCATGGGATATCTTTTCATCTTCTTGTGTCCTCTTTAATTTCTCTCAAAAGTGGTTTGAAGTTCTCATCATAGAGATTTGTCACATCCTTGGTTAAATTTATTCCTAGGTATTTTATTGTTTTGGTGGCTATTGTAAATGGGCAAGCTTTCTTGATTTCTTTTTCTGTCAGTTCATTGTTAGAATATAGAAGTGCTACTGATTTTTGCATGCTGATTTTGTATCCTGCAACTTTGCTAAAATCATTAATTAACTCTAAGGGTTTTTTTGTAGAGTCTTGAAGCTGTTCGATATATAGGATCATGTCATCTGCAAACATGTCATCTCTTCCCTGATTGCTCTGGCTAGTACTTCCAACACTATGTTGGATAGGAATGGCAAGAGTGGGCACCCTTGTCTTGTTCCTAGTCTGAAGGGAAAGGCTTTCAATTTTTCTCCATTCAGGATGATATTGTCAGTGAGTTTGTCGTATACAGCTTTAATTGTGTTGAGATGCTTTCCTTCTGTACCCAATTTATAGAGAGTCTTTACCATGAATGAATGTTGAATTTTATCAAATGCTTTTTCAGCATCTATAGAGATGATCATATGTTTTTTTGGTTTGATTTTATGGATGTGGTGTATCACATTTATTGATTTGCATATGTTGAACCAACCTTGCATCCCTGGGATGAATCCCACTTGATCATGGTGCATCCCTGGGATGAATCCCACCTGATCATGGTGGATAATTTTATGTATGTGTTGCTGTATTCTATTAGCAGGAATTTTATTGAAGATTTTTGAATCGATATTCCTCAATGATATTGACCTGAAGTTTCTTTTTTTGTTGTATCTTTGTCTGGTTTGGGCATCAGGGTGAGGTTTGCCTCATAGAATGAGTTTGGGAGAGTGGCTTCTGTTTCAGTTTTTTGGAATAGTTTGTAGGGAATTTGTATTAATTCTTCTTTAAAGTTTTGGTAGAATTCTGCAGTGAAGCCATCTGGTCCTGGGCTTGTCTTTGTTGGGAGACTGCTGATAAGAGCTTCAAACTCTTTGACTGTTATTGGTCTGTTCAGATTTTCTATGACTTCTTGACTCAGTCTTGGCAGTTTGTGTGTGTCTGAAAAATTTATCCATTTCCTCCAGATTTTCAAATTTGTTGGTGTATAGTTGTTTATAGTAGTCTCTAATGATTCCTTGTATTTCAGAAGTATTAGTTGTAATATCACCATTTTCATTTCTAATTTTTGTTATTTGTATCTTCTCTCTTCTTTTTTTAGTTAGCCTTGCTAATGGTTCGTCAATTTTATCTATCTTTTCAAAAAACCAACTTTTTGTTTCATTGGTCTGTTGTTTCATTTGTTGGGTTTCTATTTCATTTAGTTCTGCTCTGATCTTAATTATTTCTTTCTTTGTACTGACTTTGGGTTTGTATTTTTCTAGTTTTTCAAATTCCTTGAGGTGAAATGTTAGGTTGTTTACTTGCCATCTTTTCATTCTTCTGAGGTAAGCATTTAGTGTAATAAATTCCCCCCCTTTGTACTGCTTTTGCAGTATCCCACAGGTTTTGATATGATATGTCTTTATTTTCATTAGTTTCATAAATTTTTTGGTTTCCTGTTGAATTTCTTCTTGGACTCATATGTTATTAAGTAGAATGTTTAATTTCCATGTATTTATATACTTTCCAGAATTTAATTTGTTATTGATTTCTAGTTTTAATCCATTGTGGTCAGAAAAATACATGGAATAATTCCAATTTTTTTGAATTTATTGAGACTGGATTTGTGACCTAACATGTGGTTTATGCTGGAGAATGTTCCATGTGCTGAAGAGAAGAATGAATATTCTGAGGTTGTTGGAGGGAATGTTCTGTAGATATCTGCCAAGTCCAATTGGTCTAAAGTATTATTTAGGTCTTGTGTTTCTCTGTTGAGTTTTTGCCTAGATGATCTGTCCAATGTGGAGAGTAGGGTGCTCAGATTCCTAACTATTATGGTATTAGTGTCTATCTCTTTCTTTAGGTCTAATAGTGTTTCCTTTATAAATCTGGCTGTTCCAAAGTTGGGTGCATAAATATTTATAATTGTTACATCTTCTTGTTGGATAGATCCTTTTATCATTATATAGTTGCATTCTTTATCTTTTTTAATCGTTTTTGTTTAAAGTCTATTTTATCTGATATAAGAATAGCTATTCCATCTCTTCTTTCATTTCTATTTGCATGGTGTATCTTTTTCCATCCTTTGCCTCTTAGTCTGTGTGTGTCTTTACAGGTGAGGTAGGTCTCTGGAAGGCAGCATATTGTTGGGTCTATCTTTTTAATCCAGTCAGTCTGTGTCTTTTGAGTGGGGAATTCAAACCTTTTACATTAAGAGTAAATATTGAAAGATATTGATTTACTGATGGCATTATATTGATTTTTGTTTGGATGTTCAAAATATCTTTTGTCCCTTTCTCTCTGATTTACTGTTTGTCTTCTGTGTTTGTTGGTTTCTTGGAATAGGGGATAAGCTTTTTTTTCTCTCTTTATTGTTAACATTTTATTTTACTGGTGGGTTTTGTTCTATCTTGATTATTCATGGTAGTGATGGTTGTTTTTCAGGTACCAGACCCAATACTCCCTTGAAAATTTCTTGTAAGGCTGGTCGTGTGGTAGTGAACTCCCACAGTTTTTGCTTGTCTGGGAGACATACTATTTGTCCTTCATTTCAGAAGGATATCCTTGCTGGGTAGAGTATTCTTGGCTGGCAATTTTTGTCTTTTAGTATTTTAAATATATCATCCCATTGTCTTCTGGCTCTTAGGGTTTCTGATGAAAAGTCTGATGTTAGTCTGATTGGGGTTCCTTTATAGGTGACTTTATGCTTCTTTCTTGCAGCTTCTAAGGTTCTCTCTTTGTCTTTGAGTTTTGTCAATTTGACTATAACATGTCTTGGAGAGGACCTTTTTGTGTTGAATATATTGGGAGTTCTTTGAACTTCCAGTATCTGAAGATCTGTATCTCTTACTATACTTGGGAATTTTTCTGCTATTACTTCATTGAATATGTTTTCAATACCATTTCCTTTTTCCTCCCCCTCTGGAATACCCATGATTTGGATATTGAAGTACTTGAGGTTGTCTGTTATCTCTCTGAGATTTTCTTCAAGTTTTAAAATTCTTTTTTCTTTTTTTTGGTCCACCTTTGTTATTTTGAACAAACCATCCTCAAGGTCAGATATTCTTTCTTCTGCTTGTTCTAGCCTCCTGGTTAAGCTCTCTGTTGTGTTTTTTATATCATTGAGTGAATCTTTCAGCTCCACAAGCTCTGCTACATTCTTTTTCATGGCATTGATTTCTTTGAACATTTCCTCTTTCTGGTCCTGTATACTTTTTCATTTCATTTTGTTGTCTAACTGAGTCTTCTTGTATCTCACTTAGTTTCCTTAGGATTGTTGCTCAAAATTCCTTGTCAGTCATGTCAAGGACTTCCTGTTCTATAGGATCTAGAGCTTGAGAGTTGTATTCCATTGAAGGTGTCATACTTCCTTGGTTTTTCATATTTTTAGTATCTCTCTATGGTATTTAATCATTGTGAGTAAGGCTATTGCAGTCTACATGTTCCACCCTTGTGTCTGGAGCAGTATCAGGGAGTTTTGTTGAAGTTCAGCCGCCTGTTGCTGCCTAGGTCCAGGGGGTCTGTGGTGGCTGTGGCCTCTCTTGCGGGGGTGGGGACTCACCTGGCTGTCGGCCTGAAGGTCCCACATGTGTTGAGGGCAGTGGGAGCTCCGTGGCAACGCTGCTGCCTTGGGTCCTGGGGGGGTCTGTGGCTGCTGTGGCCTCTCTCTTTTAGCTATGATACTTTATGGTTGTGTGGTATAACTTGTAAATATCTTTCATCCCAAGCACGTATCATTTTTATGAAGTATTATGGTAGAAACCCAAACTTACTTTTTTCCCCAAGCAAGAGTTTGAGGAAAGAAGGAAATGGCATAATTCTTAATCATCTTGATAATTAATTTTGAATTATTCCTTTCTCAGTTGTTTATTCTTCAAGAGTCTGTTTAATTTGGTATAACAGCATGTCAGAATGTGTCCCATCTCCCAAGTTACAATCATCCCTTGTGCCCCATTGCAAACTTTGGGAATAGGCAAGATATTCATGACATAATTACTCCCTACTACACAATGACTAATGCCTTGGCCTGCAAGGCATTATTCCTTGTTTGTCGGGAAATGGACATTTGCTATGGAAATTGATACAGCATTTATTTAACACGATGCCATTGTCGTTAGGTCATTAACTGCTCCCTGGTGTTAAAACAATGTTTTTGTTTTATGAGCTAATATTTCTACTGAAATGGCTTCAAGGCCACATTTGCCTTGTTGTAAATATACTAAAATGGATTTGATGAAAGATAGCATGTTAGTGATGTACATGGTGCCTGCATAAAATAGAGATTGGTTCAATAAACATCTTGAGTGTTATTATTTGCTTATAATCTACTCTGTTCCAAAAAAGTTTTTAGAGATGGCCAAATGGATTGGATTATATCTTTTTACGAATAATGTTTAGAACACATTTCCCATAAAATACTTTAATAGATGTTATTTATTAAACAGTACACTTTATAAGTTTTTCTTTGACTTAAAATATGTTGTTCACACATTTAGTTTTTCAGAAGTGGGCAACAATAACATTTTTAAGGTGTCATTTATCTTATGGTGCTGTGAGAGCTTTATGAGTTACATGAGCTTAAGTAAATCATCAGTGAAAAGATAGGAGTCAGTACCAAATGGAAATGTTTGTTGTGGTTAGAGTGACCAAACGTAAGTGATATAGTATGGAGCCCTTGAGTTGTGCTTAAACTGGATGCAAATAACATACTGATTTATAGAAGAGAATTCTTCAAACACATGTAGTGCTACTAACATTTCTAGATAAATTCTCTATTTAAAATTAGCTTGTGCCAATATTGGCAGTTTCTCATACTGACAATAGCTGCTCATTTAGTGACCCTTTGCCATGTCCTCAATCCTGTTTTGTGTACTTTACCCATGTACATCCTGACACCTGGCTTCCCTATTCCCATTTTACATATTTGGAATTAGAGGCCCAGACAGAGGAGATGATTTTTCCCAGACCTTGGCCAGGTGGAACTAGGACAGAATCCAGCATCTGCCTGGTTCCAAAGCTATATTACTGATTATTAAATGTGTTTTTCTAAGATCACCTATTCTCATTTATTAAATTTTAAAGCATGTTCTTCACTATAATTTGTATTTCTGTGCTTAACAAATGTCAAGGTAGTACAATAATTGGAATTAAAATAGTTCAATAAAAAATGTTTACTATAAATAGATTGTTTTTAAGTAAGAAAGAAAAATCTGATTACTTTATATGTTTAATTTTAAAGGTGGTGCCTCATTGGACCTTAAAGCCTGTCCTCCTAAACCATCGAAATGGATCCTGGACATGACCTGGCTGAATTTGGTGGAACTCAGCAAACTTAGACAGTTTTTGGATGTCCTTGATCAGGTAAGTTGTGCTTTGAATAAACTTAAGCTGAAGCAGTCACAGTGAGCAGCTCTCTGATTTATCACCAGCTACAATATTTGTGGAAGAGATATTTTTTAATATTGTCACCCTTAAAATGGTATCACATGTGCTTGACCTTCCTTGAAGCTCGCCCACACTCTGGTAAAGCATACTTCATCCATTGCAGACCGGTCTTACAGGAGGAAATATGTCCAGTAAGTTTAGTTAGTGCTGTCTTAGGCCATATGTCAATATCACCAAATGGAGGTCTACAAATAGAAGAACTGGTAGATTTGATTAGGTTAAATAATTATATGTACTTAAAAAGCTTTGCCTTCTTTCTAGAGATTAAAAGAAAAGAAATATGAACAGCCTGCCTCTAAATACTAAATTTCCTTTCTTGCCTCTGATTTCTCTCTCCCCTTCTTCCTCTCCTCCTCCTCTCATTATATAACCTTAGACATACACGTGTGAATCTCATGCATACACCTGGCCTTTTAGAGCTTTTAGAAGCTGTCATACTTCCAGAACAAGCCAGTTCCGGATGAACTGTACACATGTTGGAAGCTGGGGATAGAAAGTTGAATTGGGACAAACCAGGAAACAGGTTCTTGAAAATCAGGTGACCACAGAGAAGTGAGGTTGGGAGCAAGGTGGCTTTATTCAGCTACAAGTTGAAGGCTTTTTTGACACCAGTAAATATCCTAAGGTTGGTTCTTGCCTTTCCCGGTTTAAATTGACCAGATGCTTATGTTCTGCTATATTTTTATGTTTTGGCTGAAAACTGGTGATGTTTGTTATTACTACCATGTACTTGGAATACAAATTATTCATTTGGGTTAAAAAACTTTGTTTTGGGAGATGTCAATGCGCACTAGTTTATTCCCCCATGGCGTGACCCTCAGAAAGCTTGTCCAGACCATTGTCTGTTATTGAAGTTGCTACCTTCTGGAGATTAAATCTTAACGCCTGAAGTCATTCCACATTAAGTAGCCTTTTATCATTAAAAGAGATTGTTATTTTTATTCTTACATGATACTTTCTGAGTATGAACCTACCTAGAATGATTTTCCTTTTGATTAAGCACCCCCAAAATACACTGAGACTTTAATCAAAGGGAATATACCAGAAAGCATAAAATTATATTTATCTGTAGACATTGTTTGTTTGTTCAGTGTTTTTGATATGCTTGCCCATGTAATGTTTGTCTTTATTTTTTTTAAAAGAGGAATAATAAATATTCTCCAGAGGATAATGTACAGTGTCCTTTTACTCTTTACTGATTGTCTAAAGGTAGCAGATGTCTGATCATTCATTTGGTGATAATATTAAATGGTATATTTCAAATTAGTCTAGATTAATAGCATATTAACTAAAAACATGTTCATTCAATAATAAACATGTATTGAATGTCTTCTTTTGAGTCTGGAATGGTCCTGAAAAATGAGGAAACATCAGTAAATGAGATTTGGTTCCTAACATGAGAAGATTTTGTGGAGTACCTCATACTTCCTTCAAATAATGAAAACAAATTTTCACTGATTTCTGTATTCCTTACAAATTTGTTACCACAAAGGCATAGAAGAAATTAAATATCATAGAACTCTCCCTACTTTGAAAGCTAACTGTAGGCTGGAGTTAATATAGACTGTCTTTGGAGCAAATATTTGATTTTAGGTTATCAAACTTCTTGATACTAGGGTATAAAATAAATTTTTTAAAAAGTAGTCAAGGAATATAATTCACATGTCTGGAACGGTCAGAAGATTTAATGAAAAATACCTGTGAATTGTTATTACTGAAAGAATTTTGTGTGACACGTATTTTATCCCATGGTATTTTCAGATATCAAGAAATGAGAAAATGTGGAAAATTTGGTTTGATAAGGAAAACCCTGAGGAGGAACCTTTTCCAAATGCCTATGATAAATCTCTTGATTGCTTTAGACGTCTTCTCCTTATTAGGTCCTGGTGTCCTGACAGAACCATTGCACAGGTAAAAGTTACATATTACAGAGAATACAAGGAACATATTTTAAAGGATAATTTCCTTTTAAATTTAAACAAATACTTTATTTTTTATTTTTTATTGAAACATAATTGATTATACATATTTGTGGGGTACAGAATTGAATATCAATACCTGTGTATGATATGTGATGATCAAATCAGGATAATTAGTATATTCATGATTGTAAAATGTAATCATTTTAAAGAAATATTTTAAATGTTAATTCTGACGAGAATTTTCTTCTAGGCCTCCATGTAATTTTTTAGCAATACAAATGTGAAAAATGGAAAAGAAAACAGCAAATAAAAGTACCAAAGTGTTCACTTGGGCCATGTGATTTATTAGCTTCTTTTGTCCAAGCAGTGCAACAAAAGTAAATGAAAAAACCACAATTCTAAGGCTGGCATGTAGGTATAGCATAAAGGTGGTGCATTACTCTTCTGTATCATTTTATATTAACTCAACAATGATATGGCTGCTGCATTTTGCTAGTAGTAAAACAATATATCTTTAAGCAGGAAGAATGTAAAGGCACTAGGGAGAGAGGGAAGGACAGGATGCCCAAACCTGTAGTCATTTCTCTAGAAAATGTCACAGCTCTAAAGGTAAGTAAGTAGGTTGTCCTAAAACTGAATTTTAAATATAATTTAAAGGTGAATCCTGCCTCTGGAAGATTTGTCTTTGCAAAGACCTTTAATCTGCAGGCCTAGTAACATGGAAATTTACCCACTAAAAAGGCTTGTACCTTGCCTTCACATGTTAATTAATTTAATTAACTTCAAAATTAAATTAATGTCTAATTTTAAAAATTTAAAGTTTTACCCTACTGTTCAGCACAGTCTGACTCCTTAAGGGCTTTTCCAAATAAGCCGTGGAGTAACAACAGAATGTGGGACATTTTCTTCACTTTCCAGAGGGAGTGTTAAAAACTTATGGAGTAACCCCCTCCAGGTCCACGTAGGTCCCGTGGAATCATGAAAACAACTAGAGTCAGTGATTATTGGGAAAGGAAAAATGACTTTTGTAACTCAGGGCACTGAGATCACCCTTCCTTTCAGTTTTGGTTCGACACTGAAATTTAAGTCTATGAAGCTCCTTTGTAACGTTGTCATCTTCATCCAGTTCCTAGGCTGACCATTCCTAGGCTGACCATAGCCGTGGCCTCCTGACTGGTCACCTTTCAGTCCTTCTGGCCCACTCTTGTCTTTCTAGAGCACTCTAGAAGAAATGGAAAGAGTGTGACATTCCTTAGCTTTTCAAGTCCTGCAATGGCTTTCTATGGCCCTCATCATAACACCCAAGTCCTAAACAAGGTTTAGAAGGCCCTTCTGGAAAAATGTTCTCTCCTCTGAAGGTCTTATTCTTGCTTTAGAGTCTGTATTAGTCTGTTTTCTGTTGCTTAAAACAGAATACCTGAAACTGGGTAATGTAGGAAGGAAAGAGTAAGAAAGAATATTTCTTACAGTTTGGAGGCTGGGAAGTTTAAGGCCCAGTGAACACATCTGGTGAGGGCCTTTTTCTTGGTGGTGACTCTCTACAGCAACACAGGGTATCACAAGGAGAAGATGACAAGAGCTCCTTCATGTGCCCTAACTATAAAGCCACCAGTCCATGCCCATGACAGCCCATTAAACCATCAGCTCTTTACTCCATGAATGGATCAATCTATTCACGAGAGCATGGTCCTCATTATCCAATCACCTCTAAAAGGTCCTGTATTGGGGGTTAAGTTCTAACGTGAGCTTGGTGGGGGGGACATGCAAACCACAGCAGATTCCTTTTGTGATTTTTCAACCAGACACCTATTTGGGAAGCATATTAGAAGGTCTACAGTGTAGATCCATTCCATCCCTGTTCCCCACAAGCAGCCTCAGGCTATGCATTGCTTATTCTCTGCATTTTGGCTGAGCATGACTGTCCACACCAGGGGAAGTTCAGCAGCCTAGTTCAAGAATGGCACACTGTCAGAGGGTGTCTCGTGCCACATACACATTTATGTCTCAAAAATACTCAGCAGGTGAGGAGGTTTATTTGTTCATTTTTTTCTCTTACTCAAAGGTTGAGTCTGCTTCATTGAGACAGATATTGGGACAAAAATGGTCTTCAGAGTTGTGTGAAGCATAACCTGTGCAAAGGAGGCACTCGGTTTCTATTCATGCCAACAAGGTGTTAGCTTTCATAGTAGATGAGCAAGGTGTCCAGGAGCCTGGCTGGCCCAGACTTGAATCAGCTCTTACATGGGTCATATTGGACATCCTTCTGTCCGTAGTCAGTGACTTGCTCATTGCTGCTCCATGGTCTCTGCAAATGTGCTCTCTGTGTGGAAAGCTCACTGCTCTGACCCACCCAGCTGTCTTCTTTGTCTTGATAAATCCCACTCATCATCAGGGTAGCAGCTTAAATGCTCCTTTCACAAGGGAGCCTTCTCTGAGATATTCCTGCAAGATTAATTGGTTTTGTACTTTCATATTAGCCTGCAAGCTGTAAATCCTCAAAACTAGTTTATTTGTTATTACTTGCTAAATGTATGTCTCATCCTGGGGAAGGAAAAGCTCCTCAAGGGCAGTGTCATTAGTTTAACAGCTTTGTCTCTAAAACCTGTCATACTGCTTGGGACAGAGAAGGAGGTTATGGACCAACATTTATACGAGGGAAATTACCTGGAATGGAGAGACCCAGTAATGCCTGAAATTATTGTCCTGTTGGCCCAGTAAGATAATGCGGGGTGCTGGATTGAAGTGGAAGTAGAGAAGAAGAAATGCACTCTTTCCAGCACACATATGTGTGGTTGTAAATCCATGCCTACTACTTTGGGGGCTTATCTGGAATTGCTGAGTATCCTTATGTAATATGAGAATGTTTTTGCACCAAATATTTTTTGCATTTGTACATATTTGCACCACAGACTCATTATAACCCTTAGACTTGGAGCCAATTTGAACCATGGCTGTGACCCTCTTTAAGAATGTCCCTTTTCCAGGAGCATGAATTTAATCCTCAGAAATGGCCTTGAGTTATGATTTTCATTATGAGCAAAATAGCCTTCTCTATTTTCTATTCCAGGCATTGGCAAACTAGGGCTCACCAACAAAATTTGGCCCATTGCCTATTTATATACAGTTGGTGAGCTAAGAATGGTTTATATATTTTTTAATGCCTGAAAAAAATCACTGAAAGAGTAATATTTTGTGACATGTGGAAATAATATAACATTCAAATTTCAGTGTCTATAAAGTTTTATTGGAGCACAGCCACGTCATTTGTTTATGTACTGTGGCTACTTTTTTCCCCCCTACAATGGCAGAGTTAAGTAGTTGCAATGGAGACCATTTGGCCAGCAAAGCCTATAATATTTGCCATCTGGCCCTTGATGTATGCTAGCATGTTAGTACATGGCTTGAATGGTGATATCCATGTTGGATCAATGCTGAGTTGTATGGCAGAACTGGCCATTTTGCGCTTCTTACAACCCTGGAGTAGAGAGCATTTGAATCTTCATAAGGTGCACTGTAGAGATGCTGCAGTGATGGTAGGTACCCATGGTTGAGAAGTGACTGCAACTGTGGAATGCCTAAGTGTCCAGCCTTTGAAGTCCTTCCTGATCTCAAAGCTCACTGCATTGGTGACTGCTTTGGAATGTGTACATAGAGCAAACTTTTGGGGAAGTCAAAGAACATGTCAAGCAAACTCCTAAAACACCTCTCAGAAGGCTGCAGAAAAATGTGTGGTCATTTACACTTTGGTGACAGGTTTTGATGCTAGATCTGGCCAACCTAGAAAAAATAAATGGCCTCTTGTGCCCCAAATTTAACTGGTCTGAACTCTACTTCCTCAGAATTTCTCCCAACCACTGAAACTAGTAGATGAGAGGAAGGTTGGGATGGGTGATCATCTCCACAAGTGAGGAGCTTAGGCACTGATTGGCCATTTTGTTGCTGTTGGCCTAGCCCTGCCAGTGAGGGCCCTGAATGCTACTGCTTGGATCATTGGGGAGCCAGGAGGGGTGCCTTTCCCCAAAGTCATCAAGAGATAGTTGCCAAGGCAGGAAAACCTGTGCACTCTACCAAATTGGCATTGATGTGGTGGACTGGACATTATGGGGAAGGATTACAGCTTGAAAAAAGGAGGCGGATCCACAGCAAAATGAGCTGACTCTTTCTGAATTAGCTGCTGCTGGTTGAGGGAATGGGGACATGCATCTTTTTGTTTTTTGCACTCTCATGGGGAAGATGGATATTTCATGGCAGACTGCCTTTAAAAGAGACGCTTTGCCCTGTCATGTGCATAATAATGCTTCTTTGGGAAGTGTCTAGAAAGGAGGAGTCAGGAAGTAGAGCCACTCTGGTCATTCAACAGTCTAGACTCAGTTGGCACCCATTTCTTCTCTCAGTGAGATACGAGAAGGTAAGAAGCCAGGAGACTCTCTGCTGTAGCTGCTACCCTCCCACTCTAACCTGCAAAGAGGATGAACATGGGCTGGGAACATCAAACCAATTTGTAACCTCAGAGACTTGGTGTACGACAACCATTTCAAGGATGAATAGAGCATAGCAACGTACTCAAGATGAGGAAAAAGGCTGCATTATTGGCTGAAATCAAACTCTGGAAGCTTTTAAGCCAAAGATAAGGGGTTAGCCAGCTCCACCTACCTTTTGGTCCAAGTCTATCTGAAACCTTTCTTATTCAAAGAAAGCTCCACCTGAAGCCTTTTTGCGTTTCTCTAGGAATCTAAGTGCGGAGGCTCACCTGCTTGGCCCTTGAGAGTGCTGTGGTTCATGTTGCAGTCACAGCGAGGCTCTGCTTGTTACATGAGAACGACCAATTTGGGGAGTCCCACTGGGGAGAGAAGCTTGGGTTTTACCCACTTGAGGTGGTGGAAGACATCGGAATAGGAGGAAAATTTTCTTTGAGTGAATTTAATTATTGATGGGGAAGAAAATATAGAATAAGGTTTATACTCACAATGCTACTTGTTAAAAAATACATGACCCTTTTACCTTGTTTGAAAAGACATAGACTATGTTGTTACCAGAATTTTTTTATGGTTGAAAATAAAGTTGATAGAGTCTTTGATTTCGTGAGCGTAGATTTTATTCAAACAAAATTAATAGTAAAGGAGATGAGCCAAAAATGAAAAGGGATGATAACAATAATGAAAAGAAAGATGATGAATTAAATCTTTAAAAATATATTAATTCATTCAATAAGTACTCAATTAATTTCATTCAGCAAGTAGTCATTCAATAATGATCCATTTGATAAGTACCCATTAAATCCCAGGCGCTGTGCTGCTTACTTGATTATTGAAAGGCATATTTATTTGCCTTAGAGCATCCTAAATAATAGAGTGTTCTAATATTTTTATAATTTATGTGTAGCAAAAAGCAGCCAGTGTATTGAAGTGGGTTCCAGACCAGGAGTCATCCAGTTTGGGTTCTGGTCTTATAACTGCATGATTTTGTGTTTGGCAAGTAACACAGCCTCCCTGCCTATAGAATGGGGATATAAACAAAGAAAGAAAGAAAAAGTCTCTGTTCTATTTCCCTGGCAGAGTTAGTGTGGACATCATGAGATAATCCATAAAAATGAATTTTGGAAACCACACTGCATTATATACATGAAGGATTTGGACCTATTTTTGTTGACTTGTGTGCTGTTTTGTCAGGCCCGCAAGTACATCATGGACTCTATGGGAGAAAACTATGCAGAAGGGGTTATTCTGGACTTGGAAAAGACATGGGAGGAATCTGATCCACGGACACCACTCATCTGCCTCCTGTCTATGGGTTCAGACCCCACAGATTCCATCATCGCCTTGGGGAAGAGATTAAAAATAGAAACCCGTTTTGTGTCCATGGGCCAGGGCCAGGAGGTCCATGCTCGGAAGCTCCTGCAGCAGACCATGGCAAACGTAAGTTCAAATGTCTGCTTTCATGTTCTGCTGTTGATGTTACAGGTTATGGAGTAGCAATACAGAAAAAAAAATCACGGATTAATTAAGAGCTTAAATTTATGTGCTGCGTGCTGTTTACTAAACCGGGAAAGGTATAACGTCTATTAGAAAACTTTCATGGAGGAACAAATATAAATTCAAAACATTTTGTGCTGAGACTTGATGTATCAGTTTGCACAATGTAGATATTATTGTACTTAGATTGAACAAAACACTTATATTAACAGGACATCTGTTTAATTTGAATTTGAAATAAATAATCATGTAACTAATAACTATAGTTTTGGGCAAGTACACTTTTAACAATTGAAATAATTTTTAACCTTCAGTTTATCTATGCTTCCTGTTTAGTAGTTTAATTTCAAGTAAGTTAAAAATCTTTATTGTTATTAGCATGCTTATAACTTTTAAAACAACTGTGTTTAAAACTTTTTGTAAAAGAAGCTTATATTAAAAGTTTTGAAGCAATATGGCAGAATAAGCCAACTACCCAAGAAAAGCAGAATGGATGGTCTACTCAGTAGGAAGAAAACAGCATTAGTAGAGAATATGACAATCCCAAAGAAACAGCATTGGCTAAGAAATTATGTTTGTGAAAATGGAACATAAATTTCTCATGTAAGAAGCTTAGATCAGTATTCATCTCTATGCTGGACAAAAGAGAACTGAAGCCTTTTTATTGTTGTTATATTTTATGTTAATTTCTTTTTTTTCTTTTAATTGATTATACATATTCATGGAGCACAGAGCTGACTGTCAGTACCTGTGCCCAAGATGTGATGATCAGATCAAACTATCAGCATGCCCACCACCACAAGTCACAATTATTCCCTGTGTTGCCCCCCTCAGCTTCTCCCAACTTCCTTCCCACCAAGCAACCCTAGGTCTTTTGTATCCCTCTGCACCACTGTGGTCTTTCTTTCCTTCCTTCTTTCTCTCTTAGCTCCCACTTATGAGTGAGGACATGTTGTGTTTTTTCCTCTCTGGCTTACTTATTTTGCTTAACATATTTCTCCATGTTACTATGTGTGGCAGAATTTTGTTCTTTTTTTTATGACCAAATAGTATTTCATTGTGTAGATATACCACATTTTCCTTATCCACTCATGTGGTGATGCACATTTAGGTTGGTTCTAACTCTTGGCTCTTGTAAATAGAGCTGCAATAAACATGGGAGTGCAGGTGTCCCTTTGACATGATGATTTTCATTCCTCTGGGTGTATACCCAGAAGTGGGATTGCTGGATCATATGGAAGATCTATCTGTAGTTGTTTGAGAAACCTCCATAGTGTTTTCCATAGTGGTTGTTTCAATTAACAATCATTACTTGGAAATGTTGGTATCTCTTTTTATGTTTTACTTTCATTATTTTCATAACTGCTATGATAACATTGTTACTACAGTTGGTATGCTATTATACTGTGTGTGATATTGTGAAAATATATATTTGGTCTTCATCCATGTCTCCTGACATATAACTCCTAAAATCCTCAAAATCTCCAAAGTACTGTCTTCTCATATGCTAACAAGTGACTGATGGCTGGTGGCCCCTAGGTAGCATCAGAATGGACGCTGGTCAGAGGAAAGACCAAATTCTAGTCTCACCTGCCAACCTCCAGGGAGGAGACAGGAGCTGAAGATTAAGCTAATCATTAGTGACCAATGATTTAATCAATTATGCCGATGTAATGAAGCCTCCATAAAAACCCTAGAGGACTGGGTTCGGAGAACTTCCAGATAGCTGACCACGTGGAGGCTCCTGGCATGCCTGGCAAGGACATGGAAACTCCATGCTCCTTCTCCATACTTCATCCTATACATATTTTCTTCTTTATCACTTGTAATATCCTTTATAATAAGTCAGTAAATGTAAGTTCGTCTTTCCCTGAGTTCTGTGAGTCACTCTAGCAAAACTAATTGAACACAGGAAGGGGTTGTGGGAACCCTAATTTGTAGCTGATTGGTCAGAAGTTTCAGAGGCCTGGGTTTGCAACTGGTATCTGAAGTGGGGGGTAGTCTTGGGGACTGAGCCCCACTGTGAGATTGATGCTGTCTCCAGGTAGATAGTGTCAGAATGGAATTGGAGGACACCCAGCTGGTGTCTGCTGGAGAATCGCTGGCTTGCTTGATAGTGGGAGAAATCCCCATACATTTGGCCACAGAAGTAGGTCTTCTGTACTGATGATTGTTCTATGAGAATAGAGGAAAGATGGTGTGTTTTTCCCACTCACTCACTGTGGGACAAATGCATGGAACAAGAAAAAACATAGTTTATCTCAATTAAACATTATTGTATGCTTAGATTTGACCTAGATTAATTTAAAGTGATTAGTGTGCTTTTACAGTAATTTTAAGTAGTTAATTTCTAAAGAACATAGTAATTTAAATCTCTGGGTGAAACACAAAATAACCTAACTTCCATTTACTGTTGTTGACTTAGGGAGGTTGGGCACTTCTGCAGAACTGCCATCTGGGACTAGACTTCATGGAAGAGCTGATGGACATAATTACAGAAACTGAGGTTGTACATGATGCCTTCCGCCTGTGGATGACCACCGAGGTTCATAAGCAATTTCCCATTACACTCCTTCAGATGTCCATTAAATTTACCAATGAGCCCCCACAGGGCCTCCGGGCAGGACTGAAAAGAATGTATGGAGGTGAGTCAAGGAATACTTCTCAGTCTATGGGAATTTTTTGTACTTAAATTGTTTTCTTAAATAAATTATAAAAGCAGAATTAGCTAGGACACGGTTATAGCAAGTAGTACTATTATTTAACCTAATGGGGAGGTCATAGTCCCCTTTTGCCGCACTCTGTGTGGAATACCCTCTGGCAGTGTTAGGGAATCAGAGCTCATGATTACCCACATTCTGTTTTTCTATTTTTCCAATATTGCTCTACTGAAGCCTATACTATTCTTCAGCTAGACACCTGTCTTTTCATGTTAACATCAAACATGGTCGATTGTGTCATTTATGGTCTTATGTGTCACTTACGCTCCATTCCTGTAGTAGCCTCTTCTAAGAGGAGACAGTCTGAGTTAAAACCATTTTATTAGGGCCGTATGCCAGAATGTTAGTTAAAAGTCAAACACTAGCAACACAAACAGACCAAAATGCCCCTCCAGGCACGACTGGAACTGCCATTGTACTCTTTGCCTTTGGTTCCACTGCTTCATAGCTTCAAGGCTGGGACTTGTGGTCAGGAAAAGAGTGTGGAACTTGGAGTCAGAAATCCTGATTCTGGTCTTTCCTCTTGAGAAATGCTGTTTTCTTGGGTGCTAGTCACTCAAACAACCTGAGTTTCCATTTTCTCACATGTAAGATAGGGACAATAAAAATCTATTCAGGAGGATTGGAATCAAGTGTAACTAAAATAGTGTATTTAATAGTAAAAAATATAATATATTTCAATTTTGGGGGAATTGCTAATAATGCTCAAATTTCTGCCAATCAACAAGGTAATATGGGTATAAAATAGAGGTGGAAGGATAATGGCAGTTAAACAAATCAAATAATATAATTACATATGCAATATAATACATAAATATGTAATAATAATTATTATTATTTGGGGAATGCATTTGTGTTGCAATGGGCTTCTATATACACTATTTTAATTAATGTTAAATTCATTAAAATATGTACCCCAAATAACAACAACAACAACAACAACAATAATAATAATAATGTAATTATTGTTAGTAGTAGAAGTTATAGTCATAGTAGCAGTATTTATTTTAATTGCTATTAGCCTTCTGTCTCTATTGTATCCCCAAATTTTCTTGCTAGATTGGCAGGAATTTGATACACGTTAGCAGGCTCCCCACTGCCCCCCAATCTCTTTGAAGATTTTTCAGAGAGAAATGGCTTCTGGACACCCAAAAGTTAGATTATAATTTTCATATGAATGTAATAAAAATAATTCAAAATAAGTGAAGTTTAATATCAGAAATTTACAAAAATAATTCATTTCTTATAAAAGCAGTAGAAAATAAAGACGTGAGAGATGGTACATTATTTCACCTGACTACCCCCAACAGGAGTGAGCCAAGACCTGCTGGATGTGGGCGCCGGGGCCCAGTGGAAGCCCATGCTCTACGCCGTGGCTTTCCTGCATTCCACGGTCCAGGAGAGGCGCAAGTTTGGTCCCCTGGGGTGGAATATCCCCTATGAATTTAATCAAGCAGACTTTAATGCCACTGTGCAGTTCATCCAGAACCACTTAGATGACATGGACATCAAAAAGGTACTGCCGTGCATGCTGCCTCGTGCCCTGCTGATTGTAGGCTCAGGCTGTAAGCCCACGTGACCCCCCCCCACCCCAGCTTCAGGGAAAATTATGTAGGAGCGAGGATTTGTTGTGCTGGAAAAGTCATCTTTAAGTCCTAGCAGCAACTAGGGTCACACTTGCCTCTTGATTTCAGGAAAACAATGGACAAATTTTGATTATCATTTTAATTCTCAAAGGCAAGTTGACATTCCATGTAAGTAAGACAAAATGAAAGGGGCCTGTCGTGGGGAAAATGGGTGGAGAAACTTGGCTTTTAAAATCTTAAAAAGTGAAAATGAGAGTCTAGATTATGTTTGAAGTGTGTGCTTTTTAAGGAGCTGGCTCAGTATTTCCAAAAAGTCAACAGTTTTTCTGTTAAAGGATGAAAACCTATGAATGCATCGACAGAGTCTATTGAAATCATGAACAAGCTTTGAGTGACTCTACACGTTTGCCTGTTTATTTTTCTTTCCACATTTTCTCTTCCCATTACTGATGACTGACTGATGAGTGACATTGATGACAGTGAATACATGCATGTTGCTTGGCAGAGAAAACAGGGATGGGACGGTAGTCAGTTCTACGTAATAATTCTCTAAATCTTCCCAGGGCGTCTCCTGGACCACGGTCCGCTACATGATAGGAGAGATTCAGTATGGAGGTCGGGTCACTGATGACTATGATAAGAGATTGCTGAACACATTTGCTAACGTTTGGTTCAGTGAAAATATGTTTGGGCCAGATTTCAGCTTTTACCAAGGATACCATATTCCAAAATGCAGCACAGTGGATAACTACCTGCAATATATCCAGGTTTGTCAACTTCAGAATTTTATGTATTGAGCAAATGTCTGCAGCCATTTGACCTTTTTAATATTTATTTACATTGTACATAGAGCTTTTAAAGTAAATTTTAATGGTGAGATGTACTAAAAATTCTCTTTTAGATGTTTTCTTTATATTTTGATATTCACCTGATGATTAAAATGTTTATATCTGTCCTGAGTGTGTTTTGTGTGAATCTCTCCCCCACCCCTGCTTTTAATGCCTCAGTAAGGAATTTTCTTTGGGAAGCTGATAGATTGGCAGATTTAGAACTAGAGACCTACACACATCACCTGGAGCTCTCTGCCCTTGAGACTTCAGCTACCACAATGGTAGGGCAAGGGCAGCCTCTGGACTCAATTTGTTCTAGTTTTCAATCCACTTGGCGATATCTCTTCCTTCATCCTGGCCTAATGAACAGCATATGGGTATTGTCTAGGAGCCTGCTTTGAACAAGAGCTTCCTCTAGGACAGGAGTTCTCAGTATCAGCACTATTGACATTTAGGGCTGGATAATCCTCTGTTGTGGGAACTTGATTTGTAGGATGTGATTTGTGGGATGTCCAACAGCATCTCTGGCCTCTGCCCACTAGATGCCTGTAGCATCCCCCTATGCAGTTGTGAGAGCCCAAAATGTCTCCAGACATTGCCACATGTCCCCTGAGGGAGGAACAGAGAATTGTTTCTGGTTGAGAAGCACTTCTCTAAGAAGAAATAAGGTAGATTTTTATAGGAAATTTGGGAATATGTAGGGGAAAAAAATCTGATTTCCCAAGTAACTGCATTTTCTTTCTTTATACCTTGAATTCATCAGATCATTATTTAACCATCTGTTTGGCCTCTATCTAAGATTTATCTTAGAGTGAACAAACTAAAGCACAACAGCTCCAAAGGGCTAAATTTATCAATATATTTACAGGGTTTTTTGATATATAAATGTAATGAATTTATCATGTATCACCACCTCTACACTTTTATTAATTCAAATCAACAAATATATTTGCCTTCCTGTACTGTAGTGTCCTTAAATCATCAGCACTGAATGGCAAAAGTGCCCGTGAAGGTATAAATTTAGGGATACCGTCACATATATATTTTTTATACATAACCCATTTGACAATGAATTTGAGGTAGCTCATAAGAAGACATTATGCAGAAACAGATTAAAATAAGGGCAAAGAACAGAGAGAAAAATACGAGTAAGGCAATAATAAGGTTAAGATTCATATACGGAAATACACGTCCAGTTGTAGGTCAATTTTCTTTTTCCAAACGGCTGAGGGAGTTTTGCCTGCTCGTTCTGCTCTGCTGTCTCTTGCTCTCCCTGTGTCACTGTCTCTTTTTCTCTCTGACTGTTGCTCGGTCAGTATTTCTTTTCCTAGTCTCTGTCATTCTCCTTGGGAGAACTCAGCTCCCACCTGTGACCTTATCTAGGCCATGATTGCTAAAACTGTCATTTCCTGGTATCTCATAAACCTAATAACCCTTAGTTACACAGCATTTATTTAAATAACTGGTTTGAATTAGATTAGATGATCAGAAAAGAAAATACCAACCCACAGCTCCTTTCTAATTTACATCCCCTGTTAAATAAGACATTATCTCTTTGATTGAATTTTGCTCTAGGTGCAGACCTTAAAGAACCATGAGCCCATTTTATGTTTCTCAGTGTTATTTTGTTTTCAAAGCAACTTTTGTTTCTTTTCTGGAGAACTTACTGAGGCTTGCAGTATGACACTAACAAGATGTATCATGTAAATGCTTATTCTAGATTTCATAGGACAGTTCAATTTACCTGGTTTGTATGTTGGCTGTCTGTGCTTATCTGGGGTGTTGCTGTTTAGGGCTTGCCCGCCTACGACAGCCCCGAGGTGTTTGGGCTACACCCCAATGCCGACATCACCTACCAGAGCAAGCTGGCCAAGGACGTGCTGGACACCATCCTGGGGATCCAACCCAAGGACAGCTCTGGCGGAGGGGATGAGACCCGTGAGGCAGTGGTGGCCCGGCTGGCCGATGATATGCTGGAGAAGCTGCCCCCGGACTACTGCCCGTTTGAAGTGAGTTTTGCAATCCTGGCACAGTGACAGCTGCCAGTCCGCCTGTCTGGGAGTGAGGAAGAAGGAAGAAGGACAAAAATAATTTTTCTGAAATTTTAAACAATTATTTAAAAAAATGAGCTTTCTAAAGTACCAGAAAAAGAATCCATGCATCTATGAAATTAGTCACTTCAGAGTATAAACAATTAAGGAATGTTGATATTTGTTCTTAAATTACAAGCATGCACTGATGGTTTAGAGTGGCTTTTTTTAGATACTTTATATTGTCAGATACTTTATAATGTCATTTGTTTAAAGGAAAGCAATGCATGCTTAGAATAAAGCACCTAATATTACATATATATATATATGTATATTATGCAGTTTAATGCACGCCTTAAAATTCAGTCCTTAATTTCAGTGAGTCTCCATTTATATCATTACCTCTCTTCAACTTCCTATCACAATAGTTTTTTTTTTTTTTTTTTGTCTTTTGTCTTTTTTCCATGTCCGGCAACGGATCGCAACCCTCAGTGTTGCCCCCGTACCGGACCGGGGACCGGCAACGGGATCGCAAACCTTGGTGTTGCTCCCGCGCCTCGCTCAGCCAGTGAGCGGGAACCGGTCTGTATGTGGGATCCGAACCCTTGGGCGGGAGCGCCGCCGTGCTTCCCAAGCGGCGCACTATCCAGTGCGCCACCGGGCCGGCCCACAATAGTTTTAAAAATTGACATTTTTTTAGGATGTAAGTAGCCTCTAAGCAACTTTATGATTACAAAAGTTAATTTTTAGACATTTTAATGAATACTGTTAAAAGATTTACCCTGATAATGTTTTTAAATATCTTTGATTAAACCAAAAATAAATGGCTTACTTTCCATGTAGTCTTAAGAGATGACCTGGACAGCCCCTGTGACACTTTGGCACAGAGCCACCATGTTTCTTGGTATTTTGTCCCTTTTCACCTGGTTTTCAAAATGAGTCCTGCAGCATTTTGGGTCTTTACCATCCTAGTGTCTTCTACTAAGCAGGCAATTTTGGCTGCTAGTACTATAGACTGGACTCAAGGATCTATTGTCAAGGGAATAATATCTATGGAAGAATCTCTGGTCACTTGCTTGCAGAAAATCAATAATTTGACCAGATTTCATAAGCACTATTCATTATAGAATCAGGAAAGAGGTCATTTACATCTGACAGGGGTTAAAATATTTACGAAGCAATAAAAATATCTAAAAATAGAATAATAATTGCATAAGCAAATGGTAAGGAGCAGGATTTAGAAGGTAGACTCTCTCCTTTTGCTGACTTTGTCAGTGCTACTTTAGAATAAAGCAACTCAGCCTGGCACAATATCTGATACATGGAAGAATCTCAATAAATGTATGTTGGGTGGAAATGGATGGATGGATGGATGCTTTGATGGGAAAAAAAAGAAAGCTTTTAGAAGAGAAGCCTAGTTTTTTGAGACAGCCATCAGAATGGTTGTATGTGTGTGCATGTCTGCTTGTGTGAGTCCATGTGTGTGTTTGGAAGAGGTCAGATTGGCAGTAAGTTGCTATTTCTTAATAAGTACATTTGCTGTGTGGAAGACTGCGTGGTTGTTGTTGTACACTTTACATTCTCTGAATTAATGGTTGCCTGTTGTTTTCCCCATGTGTGAGAATTCAGGCTGGTCATCTAACAGATGTTTCCTTTCTTATTTCTTCTACCACTGGGGGAAAAAAATAAAAGCTTATAACTTATGGAATTGTAAAAATGTGGGCCTATTCAGAAGCCCCGGGGCACCAGCTCCATAGAACCATTAGTAGCTGTCTAATTTTTCACTCATGCTTTGAATGTCTCTATGGCAGGTGAAAGAGAGGCTGCAGATGATGGGGCCCTTCCAGCCTATGAACATTTTCCTCCGGCAGGAGGTAGACAGAATGCAAAGGGTACTCAGCCTTGTCCGTAGCACCCTGACCGAACTAAAACTTGCTATTGATGGTACCATTATAATGAGTGAAAATCTACGAGATGCATTGGATTGCATGTTCAATGCCAGAATCCCTGCTTGGTGGAAAAAAGTATGTATGAGCCTACTCGTACTCTGCCTAATCACTTGTTGCTGTGAATAGCTGTAACTGGAAAGTGGAAAACATCTAAGAATAATTTACTTAAAATGGTTCTATTGCTTAGGGACGAATTCCCAGGTAGTCCTATATTTTTACATTGTAGGTAGGAAGGGAAATTATGTAGCATATTCCATGTATCAGGTTCTCTACAAGGCAACTTACATGCATTATTTCATTTAAATTTTGCATTTCATTGTCCTCATTTTACAGATGAGGGTGTGAGAGGTTAAGTATTTTCCCAGATCACACACCTAAGAAATCCAAGAATAAGAATCTAAACCCAAGCTCTTGGAGTATAAAATTCATGATGTTAATTTTATAGAAGGAATTGTACTGTCTTCACTACCACCACTACCATCATCACCACCACCATCATCACCACCACCATCACCACCACCACCACCACCACCACCACCACCACCACCACCACCACCACCACCACCATCACCACCACCATCACCACCACCATCACCACCACCATCACCACCACTACTATTATCACCATCACCGCCATCACCACCATCATCATTATCACCATCACCACCATCATCAACACCACCACCATCACCACCACCACAATTGCCACCATCACCACCACCACCATCAATCGCCACCATCACTACCATCACCACCACCACCACTATCATTACCATCACCACCACCACTATCATTACCACCACCACCACTATCATTACCACCACCACCACCATCATCACCATCATCACCATCACTACCACCATCACCATCACCACCATTAGTACCATCACCACCATCATCACCATCACCATCACCACCATCACTACCATCATCACCACCACCACCATCACCACGACCACCATCATTGTTGTCATCCTCATGATTATTAGGGGATTGAGTGGAAAAGTAAGCCAAGAGCCAAATTTCTTGATGAATAAGTAGGAGTGAACAGTAGGTGACAGAAACAAGAAGGGATAAGATTGGGGTGTCTGGATGGCTGGAGGCTTAAAGGAAGAGAATGATGAGAAATGATGACCTGCCAATAACAGCCAGAAATGACAAGGACTTCTGCTCCTCCCCTGCTTCTGAGGGCTCTGGAGCCTGAGGAAAGCAGTAGCCTGAACTCTGAGAAGGCTACAAAGGAAGCAGTCTGTCCTGTCTGGGGAGTGGGGAGCAGACTTCAGTTAAAGGAGGAGGTGGAGGGAAAATCCAGGAAAGAGGGGAAGGATCTAGACTTTTCTGATCATGGCAGCAAAGATGCTGAAGGTACAGTGGACAGGATGGGAGGGCAGGAGGGCTGGAGATTGGGTCAGCTTGGGGGAGGTACAGAGAGGGCAGCATGTAGAGATGAGATTGGGGAATGGGGTGACTGGACACTTGGCCCCCTGATGGCTACTTGGCCAAATGAGAAGGTGAGACATGATGGGATTAGAAGTGACCATCTCTTAGAGAAGACTTGTTCAATCTTCTGAGCCTCAGACATCTCGTCCAGGGCTTCGGCACATTTCCAGGAGTGACCCCTGCATGCAGCAGATAGTAACTGGGGCTCCTTTCTGTTGTGTCCATCTTATTTGATGAAACCACCATTCATCCCTCCAGACACAGAGTTTAGAAGCTCAGAATCTGCTTTGACCAGACCCTTTTATTTTCTTTTCACTTTCAATAAATTCATTTCCAAGGTCAGAGAGTTTTCTGCCTGAATTGTTTCTTCTCATTGCTGACAGCAGAGGGAGAACCTTCCAGATCACCAGCCGTTGCAGGTTCATTCCCCTCTAGACCAGCTCAGCCAGCACCTGGGAGACTCTGGAACAGGAATCTTTACCAGGAGGCACTCCACAGCAAATGCAGCAAACACACATCTCTCTTAGTTAACACACCTATAAAGATAGGATAGAATGAGTTATTTAATTGTTACGTTATGATCTTTTTGTTCAGGTTTTTATTCTATTCATTATCATCTTTGGAATCTCAGTAGCTCTTGACAGATAGGCAAGTTAATTCTTAAGATATTTGAATTCAAGTGGTATGCCTATCCAAGTTTATTACTGCATTTATTCATACATAAAATCTTATAATTACAGTGAAATGTTATAAACTGTGATTTGGGGATACCTACCACTGCTGCTGCTGATAACATTAATGACATATACATGCCAATCGTCGTAATGAAATTTCCACAGGTGAATTCAGGGATAAAGTTAGAGGCAATGAATACAAATGATTTGTGGATAGTAATCTGACTTGGGTTTCCATTTTCTGCTCCTTCGTAAGAGCAAATAAAAGTGCAATCTAAAGCGACATACACTCCAGAAAATAAATGTTGTTTAGCTCATTAGAAATAAGTGGAGAGAGGCTTATATGATTTATTAGCCACAGAATATGTTTTGTGTTGATGATGTGGTAAGTATATTCATGTAAATAGAAATCTTGTTTTACATTGTATCTATTGAAATTGTAACCTAAGGAAATATGCCAAAAGCCTGTTAAATTTAATTCATTCAATAGTTTTGATTCCTTCATAGCAGAATTGGGGATGAACGTATTGGTATGTGGATGTTGGTTCTACTGACATCAGACATCCTGAACAGCTCTGTGAATCGATCTGGTATTCATGTGAGGATTAGCTGGTTCTAACATATCTTAATACCATTAATATCATTAAGGAGAAAGAATAATTTGAAGAGCTTACATGTTAGAATCCAAGGGAAATTCATGACTTAGGGACTATTCCATTGTAAAAATGAAATTGATATTTCGTCATTTTTTTTTCAGTGATCATAGCCAGTTTACATTAAACTTGTATTAAAGTGTTTTAATGTGTGTATTTCAGGTTTCTTGGGTTTCAAGTACGCTGGGTTTCTGGTTTACTGAACTTATAGAAAGAAATTGCCAGTTTACCTCTTGGGTTTTCAACGGGCGACCCCACTGTTTTTGGATGACAGGCTTTTTTAACCCCCAAGGATTTTTAACTGCAATGCGACAGGTAATAGCTCTGATTTGCACCCATTGTATTATTGTGATTTTCCTCTGCAAGGTTTCTTCTTTCGTTACAGTTTTAAAGAGTATAATAAGACAGAGAATGATTGTCTCTGTTTGGTACTAGCAGTTAACATCGCAATGAACATAAATCCAGCCACTTGTTCTCAGGCTGCTAGCTTGAATTTTAAAATATTTATTTGTTATTTTTGTATTTGATTTGATTTTATATTTCTTTTAAAAGTACAAGTGGTTAAATTAGGACGTGGGTATTTTTTATGAGAGACTCTTTTTAATTCTTTAAATACTGTTCTATTACCTTTGAATTAGAGTGACTTGGAGCTAAGCTTTCATCACTGTTATGCTCTTTCTGTTGAGACAAACTTCTAATTGCTCCCTTCATCCTTTGCTGCCTTGGATAGGAAATAACTCGGGCCAACAAAGGCTGGGCTCTGGATAATATGGTGCTTTGCAATGAAGTCACCAAGTGGATGAAGGATGACATTTCAGCCCCTCCCACAGAAGGCGTCTATGTCTATGGCTTATACCTGGAAGGTGCTAGCTGGGACAAGAGGAACATGAAACTCATTGAATCAAAGCCAAAAGTGCTCTTTGAGTTGATGCCTGTCATAAGGATTTATGCAGAAAACAACAGTAAGTTGTCTTATATATTCAGTGAGAGTTGATATTATTGGGTCGAATGACATTATAAACCCAGGATTTCATTATTTTTGTACTCATGTAGTAGGGATTTTACTATTTTATCAACTAGCTTTACATGCACACCTGTGTTTAATGAGTACTTACTGACCCCTATACACTTTTTTGAGTACTGTTGGAGAGGCAATAGTTCTAGATAGTTCTTGCCTATCTAATAAAACAGATAAAATGTGTATGTGTACTCATGAAACTTTAGCTGATAAGAAAGAACTGTTTGGCATAGTTAAGAAGTATGGGGAAAGGAGGGAGAGATGACAGCGGGACGAAGTGGTCAGAAGCTGGGTCGCAGGTGCATCTGGGCTTGGACTGGGCTTTGAACGATGGGTATAATGAGGTGGGGGGAGTGGCGATGGGTTTGCAGGTGGAACTGCAAAGCGCTCACTTGGAAGCCATGGCTCCACCAGCTTGGAAGTTGGAGCCAGGTTCTGAAATCCAGATCGAGTTCATGGGTATTTGGCTTAATCCTATAGCTAATAGTAAAATGGTGGGTTCTTATTTTAGCCTTTGAATGTAATAACACTTTTATGAAGCACACATGTTATTTTACTTGGACAAAATTCTCAAAGCTCTACTCAACAAGTCTAAAAATAACTATTTTCCATTGCTGGCTTGATGTTTTCTGGAGGCTTTTGTGGTTGCACCTGACATCTCTTCAGCAATAACCACCTTTCAGCACACGCGAGAATTCCCTGTTCATTTTAGAAGCGTAAGCTGTAACCTCTAGAGGTAGCTATGATACTGGGTCCTAAGAAGTATGATAGAAGCACAGAAAGATTCTAACAAATAAAGAAATAAAATAACCTCTTTAAAAGACAGCTGGTAGTATCCCCACCTCTTAGATAAGTAACACATTTTGTAGCATGGGTCTGGGAAAAGTGTTTATAAACTATAAGTATTTATATTTTTAAAACAAACATTTGGTGGATACTTAATGTATATATATCAGCCACGACTTTAGATGCTAGGGATGCAAAGATAATTATGAACCATATCCTGCCCACAGGGACTCACAGTCTAGTGAAGGAGACCCATGAGTAAATAAAGAATTAAAATAAAAATTGGTAAATGTTATGATAGAGGTACACTCAGGATGTTCAGGGGGCCTAGAAGGAAAACATAACTATGCCAGGACGGTTAGGGGAGATTGCTTTTGAGGTGTGCTTTGGAAGACAGGAATGAATGTGATAGGAGTTAGAGAAAGATTTTGCTTGGTAGAGGGAGATAGCACTACTCATTTGGTCATTCAGTGACTGTCTCTCTGGCATTGACCATCCACCCAGTACCCCTCTTGTGCTGGGGGTGCAGCAATGAGAAAAGACCAGGCAGCACCCCACGCTCATGGAGTTCAGCCTCAGAGCGGGGACAGCCCTCCAAGAAGCAATACAGTCCGGCCTTCTTACTTGCAGATTCTGTATTTGTGAGTTTGCCTACATGCTAAAATTTCTCTGTAACTCCTAAATCAATACTCATGGTATTCTCAGGGTCATTCAAGGACATGCACAGAGCAGTGAAAAATTTGAGTCCCCCGATGCACACCTGTGCCCAGCTGTGGCAGAACAAGGTGACGTTCTGCCTTCTTGTTTCAGTTCTCACACTGTAAACAAGCATCCTTTCTGTGGTGTATTTAGTGCCACGTTTTCCAAATTTTTGTATGTTTTACTGTTTAAAATCGTCCCCAAGCAGAGTGCTCAAGTGTCATCTGCTGTTTCTGAGCACACGAAGGCTGTGATGTGCTTTCTGGAGACAATGTGTGTGTTGGAGAAACTTCTTTCAGGTCTAAGTTATGGTGCTGCTGGTTTTGAGTTCAATGTTGATGAACCAATAATGTATATTAAAAAGGCATCCTTAAACAGAAACACACATAAAACAAGATTATGTATTGACTGGTTGATGAAAATGTGACCAGAGGCTGGTAGGCAGCTAGCCCTGTATCCCCTTAGGAGCAAGGGCTCGGCATTCCTTTATGGGCGGTAACTACCCTGAATAATGAGTATAATGAGCATGTTGATTTCAGACAGCTCTTGTTTCTCTGAAGAACACACACGTGGTATGTCCTTAAACAGAAACACACATAAAACAAGATTATGTATTGACTGGTTGATGAAAATGTGACCAGAGGCTGGTAGGCAGCTAGCCGTGTATCCCCTTAGGAGCAAGGGCTCGGCATTCCTTTATGGGCGGTAACTACCCTGAATAATAAGTATAATGAGCATGTTGATTTCAGACAGCTCTTGTTTCTCTGAAGAACACACACGTGGTATGCTAGCGTGGCAGTAATTCAGGAGGTCAGTGGGAAGGGAACATTGAACTGCAGTAGGAGGGACAGAAAGGGGCTGTGCTAATATCCAGGTGCAGAGGGCAGATGGGAAGACTTGAGGAGGTGATGGACGTGCCACGTTTGAGGAACAGAAAGAAGGTGTGTGCGGCTGGGGGACAGTGAGGGGTGAGAGAGCGCAGGATGCGTCCAGGGCGAGGTTAGTGAGGGCTTCTGGTGTCATGGGAGACTGGCAGGGGAGGATGAGACTGGCAGGGGAGGGTGAGGCTGGCAAGGGGAGGATGAGGCTGGCCAGGGAGAGAGTACGCAGGATGCGGATGTGATCACATGAGTGTCTGGACCAGATTTTCCTTATGGAAGGTGAATTCACACAGGAGTGTGGATGAAAATAAGAGACGGTCTGAAAGGGAGGGAGCCCTGGAGAAGCTTCCAGAACAACGTATTACGTGATTAAGAGCCAGGCTGCAAAGAGGGTGGAGAGGACCTGAGTGGGGAGGGTGTGAGCCACAGTGAGGAGGTGGAGAAGACCTGGGCATCCTTCAGATGGGATGAGGGAGGGAGAGAATTCAGCACGACATTAAGGTTTCTGCATTCTCCTCTCATCAGCGCGCATGAGTTGTGAATAGGACAAAAGAGATCATCACATGAAAACGCAGGAAAATGAGAGGCAGAGCAGTGGCGTCACTGAGCAGGAGCAGTGGCAGGCAGCCTGTCTTAGTGGCTTCTCCTGGCACTTGTGTTCCCAATGGGGCAGGTGTTGAGGACCGGTACCTGAGGGGAGACAGTAGGGAATTATGAGGTTAAAAATGACTTTACAGGTCTCCCCTTGGGTACCGGTCCCCAACAAGTGGCACTTCACCAGGGACCTGAGTATGGAGAAACTTCTTGGAAACAGGTGAGGGAACTTTCGTGTTTTAGGGTGTGCACCTATTCTGTTTAGGAACAAAGGCATATAGTTAATAGTTAGGAGTAAAAATAATGGGACAAGGCGGGAGCAAGGAGCAGATCTCTTTCTCCAAGTCTTGAAATCTATACAGCCCCGGGGCTGAAAGGCCTCTATTGTTCAGTTAGGAAAATGTTTACATCACATTCAAAAAGTCTGCCCCCGGTTTCCTGAAGAAGGCACAGTCAATATTGAAACTTGGGAACATGTTGGGCGATGGCTCCGGACAGCCCCGGGGCTGAAAGGCCTCTATTGTTCAGTTAGGAAAATGTTTACATCACATTCAAAAAGTCTGCCCCTGGTTTCCTGAAGAAGGCACAGTCAATATTGAAACTTGGGAACATGTTGGGCGATGGCTCCGGGACCATTATCGTGTTGTGTGTCCTTCTAAGGTCCCTCTTGATACTTGTTCTTTATGGAATTTGATCAGAGACTGTTTGCATCCTGGCCACGAGGCTTCTAAAACCCCTGTGGTCTCAACTGTCTCGAAACCTATTGAAGTTTCTGATATACTATTTTCTCCCACTGATGTTATTGAAAAACCTTTGATCGGGGAATGCACGGAAGAGATAGAGGATAAAGAGAAAATAGATAGTGGGGCAGAATCATCTCCTGCTGAGCCATTGCCTCCACCCCCACCTTTGGCCATTGAATCCCCTGATTTTTTGTTGGCTTTGACCGTTTGATGAAGTCCTGCCATCAAAATCATAAATGGTCTTCAAAGGCATCCTCTTTGTCTTCCCATAACCCCGTGGTGCCTCAGACATACCGTATCCTACACTGTGCCCCTCAAAGGTCTCCTTTACAGAGGGACTTCATCCCTGTCCAGAAGTTCATATGCAGACTGTAATAAAGTATGGATTGGATGGAATAAACGATAAAAAACTGGTGCTCCACGAGCTCCTCCTCCCCAGGGCTGTCTTCCTGTGCGAATCAACAGGGACAGCCTTTCGTCAAACGCCCCCAGTGGCTGGAATGTTATGATCCCACTCCCGCCTTGCACCACCCTGCTGGGTTTTCTTCAGATGATGAGAAGGCGGTATGGGACTGGATGCTCCCTTGGGTACCGGTCCTCAGCAGTCAGGTGGCTGCCAGCACTGCCCTCCATGTGAATGTAAGAAGGCTGCTGTCAGAGTTGAAGCAGAAGCTGGTTCCTGCCATGCCAGTGCCCCTTTAGATTTAAGTTTTCGTCACCATTCTGGAAGAACGTAACCTGTGTAACCTGTCAGTTTTATATTTCTGATTAGAGAGGATTGAGGTGGATACAAAGAATTATTTGATTCATGATGGGCTTTCCAATCCTCTAAGCAAACTCAGTGCCACCAGGGCCACCTTGTTTTGCAGAGCTGGGGCAGAGAGAGGAAGAGCAGTGCCCAGGGGTCCTTGCACAGTATAGCTGCCCCCAGCCTTCTTGGGTCCCGGGAAGCCCTTCTCCCCACAGGGCACCCCCTGACTCTGGTTTAATACCTATTCACCTGCGGGTTTTGAGTTTATCTTAGATCCATGACTGCAAATCCATTTCTCTTTGACTAGTGAACACTAGAGGAGGGGGAGAATGTCTTTCAGAAAGATGCCAGATCTGAGTTTTGGATAAGATGATGTGGAAGTGCCCATGATACATCTGGGAGAGTTGTTTGGTGGACCCTCAACAGCACCAGTAGGAACAGCAACAAACATAAAGGAACAAACTCAGTTTTCTTTTTAATTTGTGGTATG